CTGGTGACTCGTCCACCCGGTCCCTTTTCCGGTTTGCTCACCGGTCCAGTTTTGAAAACATTGCTCCTAAGGTGGTTACTACCAATCACGTAATTAAAAAGGACCAAACAGTTACACATGAGTCATTAAACAAACTCAATTTAAATTAAATCTAAGTCATGGGTCCCACCCATAAGCTAAACATGGTCTAATTATATACCAAAATAGACCCAACAATTTATCTCAAATCATGGTCCAAACACCTAAAACTCAAATTTCAAATTCTGCTATAAATTAAACTGAACACCAATTAGTCTGCAAATTCTCATAAAATAAATACTCACCATTAAATTCCAATTTTTTTATCCCACATGCTAGACTCTTATAAGAACAACATAATAAAAATTTCATATTTTCTGAGATCGAAAATTATATTTTTTTTTAAAAAAAATTTTATTACAAAATTGAACCATTGTCGCGCATAACTTTACACAACACTCCAATCCAATTATTACTCAATTAATTTATGCATTGACTATTTAAAAGAAAATATTTTGGGACAGTACAGAGCTCGAGTTAGAAAAATTTTATGCGAGCTGAGCTCGAGCTGACATATTTGGGCTCGCTTCGAGCTCGAGCTGAGCTCGAACATCTTCAAAATAAATCGAGCCGAGCTCAAACATTGATAAACTCAGCTTGGCTCAGCTCGATTACACCCCTAGGCATATCACACCATTCCATTTATTAACAAGCTCCTTCTTCTTAGCAATTTTCCTCATCAACTTAATTCTTACACTATTAATCAACTTTGTGATAAGTAAATGGTGTTCCTCTCGTATCCATGAATTGAAAGATTCAGCTACATTCGACCAGATCTCTCCAAAGCATTACCCTCGAAAATATGCATTACTCCAATGATCATGTGGTATGTCATCTAAAAGCTTTTCAACTCTTGACCCACCTTCTGTCTTTAACTCAACCAAACATTGATGAAATGTTTCTTTAGTTGGAGCATATGCACATTTCCTAAACAAAGTGATCAGCTTTTCTTTCAATCCACAAAACATACCACGCAAATGATGCCTCAAGTTCACCTTCAAATGATATAAACAATAAGCATAGAAAGACATTGGGAAAACCTTTGGCAAAACTTCAACTAATCCAATGTTACGATCTGACACGAATGCAATGTTTCGTTCTAGTGAAACAATTGTACTCAAATGCTCCAAAAACCAACACCGGTTGTCTTGATTCTCTGAGCTAATAATTGCAAAACAAACAGGAAAGAACCCTGCATGTACAAAACAGAAAAAATGAGAATATTCTATTATTCTTAGAAAATGGTAACATTTTAACATTCAAAATATCAAACACTAAATTAAATAACTGTAAAAATAAAAAATGCATATACAGCAACAATATTATATAAAATTCAAAACATTCAATCATATTTCTAAACTGCGAAATTTCTCAATTCCAGAACAGAGAAAACAGATTTCTTGTGTACCTTGATTTCCATATTTTCCTGTAGCGGCAAGTAAATTTCCTTTAAATCTTCCCTTAAAAAATGTGACATCAAGAAGAGAGGTCGACAATAATCAAATCCACTAATGGAACCATGAAAAGCAACAAATAATCTCTTAAACCGTTAGTATCATCGTCACACTCAAACTCAATGTAACTCCCTGGATTGTAACTCTTTGCAACATCAACATACCATCTTAACTGGTCAAATGACATTAAGTAGTCTCCAAAAATATCACCCTTTGCTTTCTCTACCCCTAACCAAGCTTGACGATAGCTAACTCTCAGCCCATGCCTCAAAATCCTGAACAACATGAACTAGACATGTCAATGGATTATCACGAACACCTTCAACAATTAAATCAACAACTATATCAGAACTCATACGAGAATGATTCATTGTACGTACTTCAGCACCACATGTGTGGACATTGTTGAGCTTCCTTATATAAAAGAACATATTAGCATTCTTCACTCTACCATGAACATTCCACATACAATCTTTTGTCTCTCTAAACAAACATTGTGCGATAACATGAACTTTATCATTTTTAACAAATATGAACTCAAATCCACACTCAATAGAAAACTTCGACAATGCATTACGAAATTCAACAATTCTACCTTCAAATTTCTGTCCTACATGTGTAATTCTAACTGCCCAACCAGTAGACAACAATATTTTTTCCTTGTGTCGACAAAATGATGATAACATATCAACCTCTTCTTCAACCTCCAACCTCGAATTCCTATTGGTTGATATAGGTGCTCTGCCTAACAAGTTCACAGACTTGTTGTTGTTATGAGACAATGCAATATCACAACCTTCAAGCTCCAACATTGACTCACTTTCTCCATAATCCAATCTTTTGTTGAGATTACCACAGTTAATGGTTGAGTTTTTTCCTCTCACAACAACATCAATACACTTTGAATCAAAATGAATAACTAATGCCAACAACAATCCTAACTCCTCATTGTTGTCCAATGTACAACTAGGATGTCCAGGCAATGAGTAAGATAGGCAATTGTTATCAGATTGTAAACTATCCAATTTCAAACATAGCTTATCAACCAACTGATCATATGTAATATTCCGATCAATCTTAATTGCAAATGTGCAACCATTATATTTGCACAACAAAAAAATTCAGGACACTCGTAGAACCCTTATCCATATTTCAATCTGAACAAAAAAAAATCACATCAATAAAAGCTAGCACAATACTCAGTTTATTGAAACTACAAAACCAGAACAAATTCTACATAACAATACTAAGAACTTTATCAGTTTTCACAAAACACGTTTTCAATTAATAAAATACCAAACCAAACCAAGAAATCATCTAGCAAATCACGTCTTCAATTTGTAAAAATTGAAATTATTCAACATATTCTTATAAATAAATTCAATCAAAACTAAAGAAAATTCTAAAAATACATAATATAAAAAATCGAAACAATACATACCTATAAACTAGCAGATCAATTCTTCAATTTATAACTCGAAATTGCACATAACAAACTCCAACAAATTTCAACTCAAAAAGCCTTAACCACGAATCTGTCAAAACTGAGAAATCAATTTATGTATAATAGCGAACCAAATCGAGAAATCTCTAAAGATCCTTCACGATTCAAATCTTCATCTACTTCCATAACTGATTTGTGTTTTCTTTCTAGTAAATAACGTCAATGCTATTATATATACACTTGTTTGGGTTGAAGGGCAAAAACGTCTTTTTACCTATAAATGGGACATATTGGTTTAAAAACATTTTGCCAGGACCTAAGCTACTACCAAATATGTAGATAGGACTTTTAGGTAATTAATCCAAAAATAAATGAGTAAAAATTAATTTTAAGTATAATATTTTAGTATTTTAATTTTATTATAATAAAAAAATTAAATATAATCGGGGCGGGGTTGAGTATAACGAGGTGGGAGAAACAAAATCCGTCCCTGTTCCATTTCCTCAGGTGAAGAAAACCTGTGTGAAACTGTTTGCACCACATTTTATTTTTCTGTTGATTGTGGCCTATTAATTATGGCCACATTCAATTATGGTCTGTTGATTGAAATTATAAACTATTTTCAAAAAATAATCTTGACCATATTTGTTTTTATTATTTTTGTCGACATGTATGTTGTCATAGCGTGATAAGTATGATAGTAACGTGTCATGGAAGAGATGATGATATGATTTGAAAAGATTAAATAAAGCCAATAAAGATATTTATTGAAATCAATTAGAAACCATATGCTAAAATCGGGGAGATCAATATCAAGTCAAAGCACAAAATCTGAAAGTAGTTCCTATGAAGATATGAGATATGGTTGAGTGGAGCAAAAATCAAGGAAGATCATGGATTGATTGCTACAACATGAGGTGGCCAAACAAGTATAAAACGGGGACTTGAAGAATGAAAAAAGCAAATGAATCAACCATCAAATACACGTGCAGAATTATTTAGGAGTAGTTCTAAATTAGCATTTTAGGAGTAGATTAAACTAGTAGTTTTTTCCAACCCCCATTTATCATCTTTTCTTTTGTCGATTGTTGTATTTCTTCAATCTTTTGTTCTTGTAACTAGTGACAAGTGACAATTCATTCGAATTAATACATATTCTTTTTTGTTCTATCTTTTCTTTGCCTAATTACCTCCAGGGAAGTCCTTAATCTGTTTAAGGCATAAAACTCAACCACAAAGTTTGATTTTATTTGTGTTTACTTAAAGATTGGTTTGAGTTTGTCGATCAAATCATTGTCGATTAGGATTGAACTAAATTTTTACCAACAGAAATGGAGCAGGAGAAAATGACCGTCCCAAATTACGAGGCACATTTTAATAATTTGTTCCATTTGTTTTTGTGCAGATTTTTCAATTAAGAAAAATATGAGACTAATTTGACAGCCAAAACTATAAGATATTATCAAATTTATTTTTAAAAAATAAACATGTATGATTTTGAAAATAGATTATTGATTTTTTTTAAAAAGAAAATATGATAAAATCATATAATTATGATTTTTATCAAATCAATATTTAATTTTTAATAAAAAAATTATAAATAAAAACTTAAAAATTAAACCAACTGAATCATCTAAATAATTTATTATTTTTAGAAAAGAGTGCAAGAGTTTTACAGCTTGGCATTTTGAAGTTCTTCGGGTCATGCATTTGGGCAAAAAAACACGACAGCTCATTTTTAGTAGTTTTTTATTAATTTTTCTTCTTTGGCGAACTTTCTTTAAGTCAACTTGTTTATTTTCATTTTTTTTTTCTGAATGTGAGTTTAAAATTTTTTGCTACGAACATCACTTAAGTAATACCATGTAGTGCTACGATACTATTAAATAATACATATTCATTTATCATGTAGGTATAATTCGAATATCAAATGATTGGAAAGGAACATTAATTAATTTGCCTGACTAATAAAGGGTTATTGAGAAATTAAGGGATTCTCATAGTAACAGAAGGTACAACTTAGATAAGCATAATAAGGCTACTCTTAGCATTTGAAATTTATCGTTTCATTGCTTATTACAATAAACTGAAAGTGAAAAGAAAGCTTTGCACAAAACAAAAACAAAAAAATTACACAAAGAAGTATCTCCACTGTGGGGATTTCTTATTCACAAATAAACTTGTTTAAATTAAAAATTGGAAAACAATGCCACAAATGCCTTCAAAAACAACTTCAAAGAATGGAATTATTTATTCTTGTTGCAATTCAAGCTGATGCAATATTAATTAAGCTGCAGGCCTTAAATAGTATGGGTTGAGACACATGTGGCAGTGGTTGACTTAATAATGGTGCGGTGGTGGTGGTGAGTTGTAGTAGTATGGAGGTGGTGGTGATGGAGATGGTGGAGGAGGAGATTTGTAGTAGTAAGGTGGTGGTGGTGACTTAACTGGTGGAGGTGGTGATTTGTAGTAGTATGGAGGTGGAGGTGGTGATTTCACTGGGGGAGGTGGTGATTTGTAATAGTAGGGTGGTGGTGGTGACTTCACTGGTGGAGGTGGGGATTTATAGATGTATGGAGGAGGTGGTGACTTCACTGGAGGTGGTGGTGATTTGTAGTAGTAAGGAGGTGGTGGAGAAGGAGATGGTGGAGGTGGCGATTTGTAATAGTATGGTGGTGGTGGTGATCGAGATGGTGGGGGTGGTGACTTATAATAGTAGGGTGGTGGAGGTGATGGCGATGGTGGTGGTGGTGGTGACTTGTGGTGGTGGAGATAGGGTGGTGACTTGTAGTAATAAGGTGGAGGAGGAGACGAAGAAGGTGGTGGTGGAGATTTGTAATAATATGGTGGAGGGGGTGATGGAGATGGTGGAGGTGGTGACTTATAGTAATAAGGTGGGGGTGGAGATGGAGATGGCGGTGGAGGTGACTTGTAGTAGTAGGGTGGTGGCGGCAATGGAGATGGTGGAGGTGGAGATTTGTAAATATACGGAGGTGGCGGTGATGGTGATGGAGGAGGTGGTGATTTGTACATATAGGGTGGTGGCGGGGATGAAGACGGTGGAGGTGGAGATTTGTAAATGTAGGGAGGTGGTGGCGATGGTGATGGGGGAGGTGGCGATTTGTTAACGTAAGGTGGTGGTGGAGATGGTGGTGGTGGTGGTGGAGACTTGTAAATATAAGGAGGTGGAGGTGGTGAAGCATAAATATAAGGCGTATTAGCAACAACACTAGTTGCTGCTAAGCAAAATACCAAAGCATAGACAAATTGAGGCCATTGCCTCAAACTCCCTAGGCTTCCCATTTCGATCTCTATGTTGGTTTGTGTCTTGGATGATGAGAGTGAGAGAGTACTATCCCCTTTATATACGAATCCATGGGATTGACTTTTCACAATGATAATCTCGATCTGTTTATAACCCAAATATCAAATTTTCCACATTTAAAAAAGAAAAAAATGTTTATGAATAAATCTGCAGACTCATAAATTAATTATAGAACTAGATACACAATGTATATAAACAAATAAAATTCTTCAAAACTAAATCTACATGTATTTTTTATGTTTCTGATATTGTAATTGATTTTTATATTCTTAACATATTTATTTTATTTATTTGTTTTTAATTTACCAATTATGGAAAGGTGGTGTGCCACTAAGATTCGTGAGAATTCGGTTTGGGAAGGTCCCCATAACATGTCAAGAAACATAAAAAATGGGCAAAATGGACACACAATAAAAATATTGAAAATGATATATATAACGGTTTTTAAATTTTATTTATTGGCCACTATACACAAATGACATATCTTTTTGTCTTAATTTTAAAAAATTCTAGTGAAAATTATATTTATGTTTAGGATTACTCAATAAATATATACACATACAATTATATGAAAAGTTAATTGATTTGTGACGTTATATTTATGTAGTATTATTCGTCAATGAAAATTTATAATGTGCACTAACAAAAGTGAGGTGTCACATTGATAAACTTTTCACTACGTGATTAATTTGAAATATTCTAAATAATATTGCATCGTATTTTGAGCCTTTTGGATAATTTAAGAGACATTACATACCAATGGAATCTTTTTAAAATAATTACTATTTCATGAAAAAAATTATAATTTTAATTGCTAAAATTTGTAAAATTTTTCATTGATCTGAAATTATTTTTACAAATATCTGCTGATTTGTTATTTCCTCAATAATTTATCTGCACATAAATACATATATTTAGCTTTAATTCAATTTTCACTCTTGCTTCAAATTCTTGTGTTGGGTTAATTAGACTTGCTATAACTCATGTCATGATATTGGCTTGTTTTGGAAAATAGGTTAAAAGTTGACCCCTTGATTTTTTTTTTATAGCTTTTTTTGAAAAAAAAAATATGGAAAAAAATAGAGAGGTGATGTGACTTGAAATAGGTTAAGTGACTTTTAACCAAATTTCCAAAATAGGTCATTGTCATATTTTTACGGTGAAACAAAACAAAATACATGTAAGCTCTCTCTCTACCCATCCCGAACATATCAGCCACTAGCCGCTTACGAATCTCAACTGGTGGCTCATTAACAACTAAGATGTCTTCAAGTTGTGCAGCTCCCAATTTGGCTAGAGCATCCGTGCATAAGTTTCCTTCACAATAGACATGTTGGGCAGTGCATTGGCAGCCATTGAATATGATCATTGCATCTTCCATTAGACCTTTGTAAGGGTGTTTGTCTCCAAGGCCTTCTTCAAGTAGCTTGACTACTTCCTGAGCATCGGTTTCCACAATCACGTCGTTGAAGCCTTTTTGGAGAATGATTGTTAGTCCTTTGTACACTTCCCACAATTCAGTTTCAAGGCTAGTGCAGCTGTCCATCCTCACAATGATTGTCAGTCCTTTGTACACCCCCACGTATCATTTATGTTAATTCTAATTATTTTAGCCTAATAAAAGAGGAGTTATTTTTACCTTTTCTATAATCACAAAACAAAATGATTAAATTTAAATTAAATGAAATAAAGAATATCACATCATTATATATAAAAATTATTTTTAAATAAATTATTTTTTATTTGATAGCTATTGTAGTTAGGTACAAGAATATGCATTCATCATGGGTTAAGTTTATATTCAATTCACCGGCACAGTAATAATATATTCTATCAATTTAAAAACTTGATTAAAAATTATTTTTTTGACTTTTAATCTATTTTAAGTCAAATCACCTCTCTATTTTTTTTACATATTTTTTCAAAAAAAAAAAAAAATCAAAGAGTCAAAATCCAATTTTTAATCTATTTCCCAAAACAAATGTTTTTAAAAGGGGCAATTACATCCTAATATAGTTTTATAAAAAATAATTACATATACATAATAAATTTTATGATCTTGATTATTAATATTTATAAAATTTATTATTGATTTATAATTTTTTTCAAATGTTAATGATTTGATATTTTTTCCTTTTTAAAAACCTCTATTCTATTCAATAATTTTGTAATAATTGTGGCAAGGCTGCTATCACTTTCTTTGACTTTCGTGCACTATTCATGATTATTGTCTATGGAAGCAAAGCATGAAATTTTTTTCCCCTCTTTTTCTATCTAATAAAAAATTAATTATAAATATAAAAAGACGTATATTAAATTAAATAATTATAATCTAACAAGAAGCCCATAAAATTGACCGCTTAACTTCTCAAATGTACATAAATGACTAACTAAATTAGCCTAATTGCTTCATCAATTCATCTTTTAAATTGTTAAAAATTGAAAATCATCAAATAATTACGAGTTATTTTGAATTGATAAATATGGGTCGTCATTAATTTCTTAACTAAAAATAGCAAGTATCTAAAAAAAATTAATATATGATTCAGATTTATTTATTATATATATATATATATATATGATGAATCAACCCATATAATACTTCTTTGAATAAATTTTGATTAATTTTGTAAATGCATAAAATTATTGTTATTTAACTATTAGGTGTCCCGTATAAAATGTTGAAGAGAATACCAGTTGTGCAAGTTTGGTAAGGAAATGGAATAAGTCAACCCTCTCGTGTCTGGTTCTTAAGGTGTGCTTTTATTTAATTATCTTTTGTTGTCCTTTTTTATTATAATTATTGTTTTATGCTTTTTATTGTTTTGTTATTTTTTGTCAAAGTTATTGTCTGTCTTTGAAAATAAAACTTTTCTTTTCTTTTCCCAAATATATATATATATATATCCAATCTAGAAACTTGATCAACAAAGTCGTGCAAGTTTGGCAAGGAAATGAAATAATTTTTGCATGAAATTGTTGATTTTCGACCATACTATCAACTCAGTTTTCAATTGGAGAGCATTGGCAGAATAGATGACACCTGACTGATCTGCAACAGAAAGAAGAGACTCCGGCGGTGGTTCGTCCACCCGGGGTACTCCGACGATCAAGTCAGTACTCAATATCTCTCAAAGATAACCAATAGTACTTAACTCATTAGACAGAATATCAAAAGCATACCTTAGACCCATGGGGTACCTCCCTTTTATAGCCAACACAATCCTAGTCCCAAATAGAAGCCTAGCTCTAATGGACTTAGGATTTATTGCTAATCTTGGACTCCTAGTAGAATTAGGATAAACTCTCTAAGAGTCTCATCTTTACCCAAACTGAAGTTTTCTTTAATTCTAGGACTCTTGTGCCTTATCCGCTTATCTCGAATTTCAATATCTTCAGAGATAACCTTGGCCTTGCCGAGATCACCTCAGCGTCATGACCAGGACACGTGGCACCTCGGCTGACACGTTGGCGTCACCCTGACCACGTGTTCGTACTCAGAAAATATATCCCTACAATATATATATATATATATATATATATATGATAAATCAACCCATATAATACTTCTTTGAATAAATTTTGATTATTTTTGTAAATGCATAAAATTATTGTTATTTAACTATAGGTGTCCCGTATAAAATGTTGAAGAGAATACCAGTTGTGCAAGTTTGGTAAGGAAATGGAATAAGTCAACCCTTTCGTGTCTGGTTCTTAAGGTGTGCTTTTATTTAATTATCTTTTGTTGTCCTTTTTTATTATAGTTATTATAATTATTGTTTTATGCTTTTATTGTTTTGTTATTTTTTGTCAAAGTTATTGTCTGTCTTTGAAAATAAAATTTTTTTTTCTTTTCCCCGGATTTAAGATATGATTGTGTTTGTTACATTAATTTTACTGATTATGCAAAGCAAAATTTTATGTGTACTAATTAATAAAAAAAAATTAAAACTCTATTTTTAAAGTTCACCATGCCCGAAGAATTCGGAACTGCCCTCAAGAACTGAACACAAATATTCAATGCATGTGGTTTGAGAGATTTTTTTATGAAAAAGTCTATACTTAAAAATTAAATGGAGAGTTGAGATTCAAATGATGTGTTGTGAGTTTATGCAAAGATTAAAATTTCAACCACACATTCATAATTTTAGATAAAATTTTTGTTCTGAGTATGGAATGTGATTACTTTTATATATTCATTTTTTTTTTTTTAGGAGACAACTAGTTTGGTTTGTGAGAAACTAGAAGAGAAAAACAATAAATTAGAAAATAGAAAAAAAGGACAAGAAGTTAAAGGAAATTCGATGTTCATTCATAGGCAATACTTGGCAAACTATATTTATTTATTCTGATATTACACTTGGCAGTGTTTGATTCATTATAATTAAAGTAGAATAAAATAATTATTTAATTTTTTTTAAATGACTATTATTTTACAATAATAAATAATAAATATTTTGATGTCCTGATCGTTCTTGTGAACCATACACTCGGTAAGAACACATATTGAGAAAACAACCAATATCGAATTTTGGATGACTTTTGTGTAAGAATATCCATAAAGTGGCTCATATGCTACATGTTTATTTATTTATTTATTATATATCAATTTAATAGGTAATGGGTAACTAACATGAAACATGTCAATTATCTCATATGATGGTTTCAAGGGAAGTTACAACTTCCCTGATGGTGGGAAGTTATAAAGAGTTACATTAGGATCATGGGTCCAAGCCTATTTATATATGCCTGTGATAGCCATCAAAACACATATGCTGTTTGTGAATAGAATAGATTTGAAATTCTGTTCTTTCCACTTTTCCAGATGGTTCTGTATAAGTATTTTGTATTTTGTGAGTGGTTTTATTTATACATTCAAGACTTGATCAAGAATAAGATTCAAAGGTTTGAACATCATGACATAAGGTATTTTTCTTTTATTAAATTATTTTAATTTTCACAATTGGTATTAGAGCCTCCTCATATTTTGTTGTTTAGCCTTATTGTATTTTTATGGACGCCATTACA